AGAGGATGCAAAAGACTTCAAATTATATAAAGACAAGTTCTAGGTCAAAAAGGAAATAAACAGTCACAGAATGTCATGGTTAGAAGAACTAAAAGGTCAAATGTTATAGTCAACCACCTGATGCTTGAGGGCCCCCATTAAACACTAACTAGTTTGCTTTTCGTTTACAGTAGTTTTGTTTTGTTTTTTTGTTTGTTTCTTTTTTCATTGTAATTTTTTTCTTTTTTTCTTTTTTTTTTAATTTATTTACTTTTAAAATACATTTGTCTCTGCCTCCCCCCTCCCTTGCCCCCTCCCACCTTCCCTCCCTCAGCTCTTCCCCTTTGGTTTTGTCCATGAGTCCTTGCTATATGTCCCTTGACTTTCCCCTTCCCTTCCCTTTCCCTGCCCCCCCCCCTTCCTCTTGTCTCTGTTGATTTCTTTTCCTTTCAGTGTTGCTGGTCATATTTTCCTTGCTTCTTTGCATTGCTGGTTAGGTTCCGCTTATAGGTGAGATCATATGGTATTTGTCTTTCGCCCCCTGGCTTATTTCGCTTAGCATGATGCTCTCCAGTTCCATCCATGCTGTCGCAAAGTTTAGTACTTCTTTTTTTCTTTCTGCTGCGTAGTATTCCATTGTGTATATGTACCATAATTTTTTGATCCAATCATCTACTGATGGGCATTTAGGTTGCTTCCAACACTTGGCTGTTGTAAATTGTGCTGCTATGAACGTTGGGGTGCATAGGTTCTTTTGTATTGGCGTTTTGGTGTTCTCCGGGTATAGTCCCAGCAGGGGAATCGCTGGATCAAAAGGCAGTTCCATTTTCAGCTTTCTGAGGAAATTCCACACTGCTTTCCATAGTGGCTGCACCAGTCTGCATTCCCACCAACAGTGGACTAGGGTTCCCTTTTCTCCACAGCCTCGCCAGCACCTGTTGTTTGTGGATCTGTTTATGATGGCCATTCTGACCGGTGTGAGGTGGTACCTCATGGTGGTTTTGATCTGCATTTCTCTGATGGCTAGTGATGCTGAGCATCCTTTCAAATGCCTCTGGGCTCTCTGTATCTCCTCCTTAGAAAAGCATCTGCCCAGGTCCTTTGCCCATTGTTTGATTGGATCGTTTTTTTGTGCTCTAGACTTCATTTTGATTTTTACAAGATTTTTACTCAACACATTTTTTTCAACAAATATTTGAGCGTCTACTATGTTTAAGGGATGTGTTGAGCATATTGGTTTACACAGCAGTAAATAAAAATCTTAGTTTTCTCAGGACAGACAGGCCAGTCAGCAATGAAATAAATATTACATTAGCTGGTATTGGGTGGCATGAGGAAATATCGAGCAGGGTGCGAGTGCTGGATGTACTTCTTGTCATCTCTTCTCACTGCTGCCTATTCTGTCATGTGTGGTCACTGAGTTTTACCTAGCTATTTTCCTCCAGATGGAAAAATGCCATCTTGAGGAGAAAGATGCTGTAACTACCCCTGTAGCTAATATCCTCTTGCCCACCTGTTTGAATCCTTCTGGGATCGTACAGCCAGGAATGGGGTATTGATATACGCCCATCTGATTTCTCTGTGGGAATTTTCTTCATCGTGATCGCCCCGTTGATGGCCCCTTGAGTTCGTTTATCAGGGTTCCAGTCCCCTCACCACCTGGGTTGGTGACATTGTTTTATTTTGCATTTCTCTGATTATGCGAGCCTTTGAATGTTATTTCATCTCCTTATTAGCTCTTGGGGTTTTGCCTTTCTGTGAATGCCTCCTCATGTCTCTCATGTCTTTCTATTGAGCCCCAGACTCTTTTGATTAGCAAGAGTCCCTTACACTGTGTAGATTCTAATCCTTGGTTAGTTTTTGATGTAACACTTTATTACATTTATTTTAAGATGCATTTTTTTCCCCCTCTATTTTAAGATCTCTGAATTGGAGGTGAATTTCACCGCTGCTGTAAATCATTGTCAGCCAGGGGGGCCTGGTGGTAGGGGGTTGTCATTGCCTGTGTACCAGTGAACTTGGTCATGACTATGTTTACTGCCAGCACTTCAGCTGAATTATGTGCACTGCTGGTAAGTAAATAAGCTGGTAGCAGGAGAAGGGGCCAAACCACTCTGAGGAGAATGAACAGAGGCTGCTGTGAGTAAGGCTTTGAACATGCCTTTGTCAGACTTCTGCTGCCTTTGGAGAATACTGGCCTATTTTCTAGAAACGTGGTTCAAATGGCAAAAGATGTAACTAGGAATATAGTCCAATAGGAACGTTCCAGCATTAAAACTTAGTGAATGGGTGACATTGTCTTGTCAGGTAATCTCAGAGGTGGTAGGGGACCATCCTGCTGAGCAAGGTCTGGGTGTTCAGTGGCAGGGAGCAGAGGAGTATTGTGTGATTATCCATGGTGTCCGCGACTTAGCAGAGAGCAGATCCTCAGAACTCGGGCAAAGAGGTTAGGAATGCTTTGACTGATTTAATTGCTTTGTATGGTTCTTTTTATATGTACAAAAGATTATAACAGAAACCTCCGTCTAAGAATGCCCAGCAGATCTTTTCATGAAATACAACCCATGAAATTCTAGATGGCAAGAAAACATCATGACCTTTTAGTCCGCAGTGTTTTCTTCCTTAATGGTAGATAAAATACATTTGGTGGTTTCTTAGAGTTTGTGAAATACAGTAAATCTCTTTATTTCCCATCTGTTCACATTGTCTTTGGTGTCTTCATTGAACCACGATTCTTAATTTTGACATGATCAGATTCATTCATTTTGGCCTCATGTTCTGCGTGTTTTCAGACTTGTTTAAGAGAACATTTCCTACTCCCACGGTCACAAAAACATTTTTCTACATTTTGTTTTCCTGTCTTTTCCAAAATATCTTTTCAGTTAGTAACATTTGGAATTTACCTCTGTGCATGGTTATACAACTTTATTTTTCTCCATCGAGAAATATCTACACGTAACTTAGTTGTTTGTGGGGCAAATGCTATTATCTGCCAGGTTCTTATGTATATACAGTTCTCTTGAGTTCTAGATTCTCCCATTGGCCTAGTTGTCTATTCTCACACCAGCCCCAAACAGTATTAATGGGCTCTGTAGTATTTGTTTCTTTCTGATAGAGCACCATTCTTTCTAAGGTCACTTAGCCATTTGGGAACCTTTACGCATCCATGCAATTTCTGGCTCTCACTAATGGTGAAGCTGTTGGTTTGGTTGGGAAGGATTTTACAATATTTTCCCTCCTTCCCATTCTCTGAGTCTTTGGTTGTGGAGATGTCTTTCTAGACTGGTTTTACTTGCTTCTGCAAGGTTATGCTCCTGTTATGCACCAGGATTCCTGCGTCAGGGACATACCTGCGTGGAGCACGGGTATGAACCTTCTGTTTCTCACTGGAAACTGTTTTCCTTCCCTGTCCCAAGTGCTGGACAAAAATCAGGCCCTGGCCTCCCTGGGTTGTGCTGCCTCTTAACTGCAGTCAGGGACTTCTGGGCGTGTGTATTCATGATAGTTTTTTTTTTTTCTCTCTGTGTTGCAGTTTTTGGTGAATGGCCTCAACTTGCACAGCAGCAACCATTACTACAGGCTTGTCTATGTAGGTGTTTTGTCTCTTAATCTTTTTGTGAGTCAGAACCTTCACATGAGGGAGGACTGGGGAAACTTTAAGAAACCCCGAGAAGGGTGAAATTAAATGACACGATGGATTCGCAATCACAGTGGGTGAAAAGAGAAGCCCTCAAAGCTGTAGAGGGAAGGAAAAAGGTATTTAGAGAGCCCCTCTTTGGGCCAGGCCTGTTTATAATGGAAATAACCTTGAGTAAAAGGTTCTCTCTGCACTTTATAGATGAAGAAACTGAGGCTCACAGAGCTCAGGTAACGTCCCCAAGGTTCTGAAGCCATCAGTGGACACATTGTCGATGGGATGTCTGACTGATTCTACAATCCATGCTCTTTTCACTGAGTCATCTTGTGTTTTGTGAATTTGTGTCTGCCTTTTTGACTTTATTTGAAGTTGTCAATCATTTCCTTCTCTGGTTTTCCAGCATCTCCCTCCCCCGCCCCAGAGAAAACCAGCTCCTTTTAAACATCCCGATGACAGCAGTTTCTCAGTCTTTTCTGGACACATTGCATTTTCAAGAGCAGCCCAGCTTGCAGACAAGTGCAAATGTGTAACTGAAATAGGTTGCGGGGACAGTCCTTTTCTTTGTGCTGTGCTGTGCCTTCTGATAATCCCAATCCATCTCATTCTTGTGGTTGCCTTTAGTTAAAATAGGCTGCTTCTGTCGGATTCAACTGGTCTGACAACCCTGTCATTGCTTGCGACCTGTAGATTGGCCCTGTGTTTCTGAAGCGTGGCTATAGCTAACATTTGTCAGCCAGGAACATGATGGGCTCTCTGTCGGGAGTCCACCTCCTGTCGCAGCCGTACTCGGGTGCACGTGCCTGTGGAATCGGCCACGCTTTTCCCTGTAAGAAAAAAATTGTTGAGGGGGGAGTGCAGGGGAGGAATTTCTGGTGAATAGTATTTCAGCATTAACTCTAGAAATTGGGTACGTATCCCACTTATTCTTTTAGTGGCTCCCTACAGGTAACATGTATTTTTAAACCACTTCACTGTAAGATTGTAACTTGCTCTGCCTATTCCTGCCTTTGATCTTGGTCTTTTTCTATTTTCGTACTCCAGAATGTTTCTGAGATACTTTATTTAGCTATTCATTCTTAAGTGGATTTTTAAGTCAAAACAAAGATTTGCCATCATCCATTTTGGAATTCTAGTTCACTTCTTAATTTAAGTGTACAGGGTCCCCTATTAAGAATAGAATTACTGGGTGAGTATTTGATTTTTAATATAGCATTGTATAATTTTACTTTTTAAAAAGAAAAGTAAAAGCTAGGAGACCAGTAGGCAAATAGGATGGAGTATCCACACTTGTGTGTCCTGTCTGCTGCCACGAGGTAATGCGGTAGTGAGTCTGCTATAACACAAATGTCAGCTGAAGTAAACCACTCTTGTCTCTTTTCCGCAGCCCTCCAAGCCACAACATCATAGTGAATGGAAAAGAATGTATCAACTTTGCCTCATTTAATTTTCTTGGATTGTTGGATAACCCTAGGGTCAAGGTAAGTAGCATCAAAGCTGAAGTGGAAAGATAGTATGGCTGACTTAAGAAACTGGACATAAAATCAAAGGCAAATGCAGAACATGAGAAAGGGCTCTGCGAGCGTCTGCCATTACTCCTTTCTGGAAGAGCTATGACCCGGATTTCCACAAAGGGTGGGGGGCATGTCTGTTGTGGCTTAGTGTTGTATGAGCCGGACCTGGTCATCGTCAGAGATGTGTCTGGGAAATTACTTCATTTCCTGTTGAGATTGTTGGCCAGTACATGTTTTTGAGAACAGGCTTATGTCCACAGATGTCAAAAAGTATAAAAGCATTGTGTTAACCAGCATTTGATAATCATGTTAGTAGAACATTTCCATGTTTTAAGTTATATCCCTATGTCCCCAAGTCTCTATGTCTGTCTTTTCTTTATATCCTGTTATGATATCATAGTTCCTAGAAAGAAAAGAAAATGGAGGGGAGAGTTACATGGGTTAAAGAATAAGAAATGCCCGTTTTGAACTCTTATTTTCTCTTCTTCCACAAAGGCAGCAGCTTTGGCATCTCTAAAGAAGTACGGTGTGGGGACTTGTGGACCTAGAGGATTTTATGGCACATTTGGTACGTTTCTGTTGTATTTTTCAGGCTACTGCTTTCAAGAATGAAGATTCCATTTGACTTCAAATTCCTGGGAATAGATATCCTTAATTAGTGGTGGCATTAATCTGGTGCTATTTCTTACCTGGCTTTCTAGAACATTGTGTGTTTGGAGCCTTTGGATGTCATTTGTGGAGAAGACCCATAGTTACATTAGGTGTGTAGTCCTTAGGACAAAGCCTGTGCTGCGTTTCCACATGCCCCTAGAGGCAGTGATGTGAGGAGACTGTTAGTGCCTGTGGCACACAACGGTTGCAAGGGGAAGAGTCCTGTGTGGGTGGCTGTGCTCTTCGAAGCTGTGTAGGAATGGGGATCTTCCATGTCTGTTTCTCCAGTGTGGAGGGTACCATCCTTGTCTGCATGCAGCCAGGTGGCAAAAACAGGGGAGGAGTGCAGGGCAGCCGTATGGTTTTTGGCAGGCAGGTGGCGCTGCACATCATTCTGTTCACATTGCCTTGGTGAGACCATATCCCAGGTCAGGCCTGGCTGCAAAGGGGACAGGGAAATAGCTCTAGCTGCACAGCCAGAACATTACAGGGAGAATGGCAAGAACAGATTGAGGAGTGTTAGGCTCTGTAGCTCTTTTCCTTCTGGAATGAAGATGAAGGGTCATTGGATTTGTGTGTGGGTGACCCTGGGAAAGGCTAGCTAAATATTCGGATGACTGTGTGTGATTTCAAACCCTATGAGCTCCCTCACTGAGACTTGTCAAGGACAACCATGGCATTTTCTGGTTGTGTTTATGAAATGTATATTGTTATTTTTCTCTTTTGAAAATTTTGAAAATGTTAAATAATTGTTCAACTGAAAGTATTCCTTGAAATATCATTCTGGCTTACCGAATGTCAGGGTGTGGGGAAAGTAGAGCTGACGACGTCTCTTCTGCCCTCATTTCCACTTCTGGGTCTTTGTGTGTTTTTCTCTTTTCTTTCTTTTTTTTCCCCACTATCAGTTAAGATGTTTTTATTTAACAAAGCATCTTTATTCCTTAGTATGTTTAGCAATTAAATTGTTTATATCGGAAACAGGTGGCAAGAGTTAGTGTTAAAGAATCCTACAGCTGTGACTTCCTGCCAAGATGAAGGTGTAGGTAGGTACACTTTGCTTCCTCACACAACCAAAGAAGGACGACAACAAATTTCAAAACCAAAAACAGCCAGAACTGCCAGAAAATTGAACTGTATGGAAGTCCAACAACCACGGAGTTAAAGGAGAAACATTCATCCAGACTGGTAGGAGGGGCAGAGACAGGAAGCTGGGGCAGAGAGGATGCACAGCAAGGCATCGGACTGGGCAGGCTAGGCGGCGGCTGGCGGACCGGGCCGTCCCACATTCGTATTTGGATCAACTGAAGGAACAACTGGGGAGCGAGACAGACTGCGCAACCCATGGTTCCAGTGCAGGAAACTAAAGCCTCAAAACCTCTGGCTGTAAAAATCCGTAGGGGTTGCGGTGGCGGGAGAAACTCCCAGCCTCACAGGAGAGTTCATTGGAGAGAGCCACAGGGTCCTTGAATGTACGCAAACCCACCCACTCGGTAATCAGCAGCAAAAGGGCCCACTTTACTGGTGGGTAGTGGGGGGAAGCAAGTAAAAGTTGGGTGGGAGCGAGCAAGTGGCAATGTTCCCTCTCTCACCCCTTCCCCACATACAGCGCCACAGTGCAGTGAAGGCGGTTGCCCCAACCTGGTGAATACCTAAGGCTCCGCCCCGTACAATGTAACAGTCGCACTAAGACAAAGAAATGTGGCCCAAATAAAAGAATAGATTGAAACTCCAAAAAAGGAACGAAGCGCCAAGGAGCTAGACAACCTATGAAGTGCAGAGTTCAAAACACCGGTAATCATGATGCTCACAGAAGTGATTTGCGTATGGCCGCAAAATAGACGAAAAAGTGAAGGCTATGCGAAGTGAAATAAAGCAAAATATACAGGAAACCAACAGTGAAGGGAAGGAAATCAGACTCAAATCAACAATTTGGAGCAGAAGGAAGAAATAAACATTCAACTGGAACAGGGAGAAGAAACTAGAATTCGAAAAAATGAGAAGAGGCTTTGGAAGTCTGGGACAACATTAAACATTCCTGCCTCCGAATCATAGGGGTGCCAGAAGGAGAAGAGGAAGACCAAGAATTTGAAAACTTATTTGAAAAAATAATGAAGGAGGACTTCCCCAGTCTGGCAAAGGAAATGGACTTCCAGGAAGTCCAGGAAGCTCAGGAAGTCCCAAAGAATTTGGACCCAAGGAAGCACACACCAAAGCACATCGTAGCTACATTACCTGAATCAAAGATAAGGAGAGAATCTTAAACACAGCAAGAGGAAAGGAGACAGTTACCTACAAAGGAGTTCCCACAAGACCATCAGCTGAATTCTTAAAAGAAACCTTGCAGGCAAGAAGGGGCTGGCAAGAAGTATTCAAAGTCATGAACGGCAAGGACCTACATCCAAGATGACTCTATCCAGCAAAGCTATCATTTAGATTGGAAGGGCAGATAAAGTGCTTCCCAGATAAGGTAAAGTTAAAGGAGTTCATCATCACCAAGCCCTTATTATATGAAATGTTAAGGGGACTTATCTAAGAAAAAGAAGAAAATCAAAACTATGAACAGGAAAATGACAACAAACTCACAACTATCAACAAATGTACCTAAAAAATAAAAACAAACTAAGCAAACAACTAGAACAGAAACAGAATCACAGAAATGAGATCACACGGAGGGTTATCAGAGGGGACAGGGTGGGGGGGAGAATGGGGGGAAAAGGTGTAGGGAATAAGCAGCATAATTGGTAGGCGCAAAATAGACTGGGGGAGGTTAAGAATAGTGTAGGAAACGGGAAAGCCAAAGAACTTACATGTACGACCTGTGGACACGAACCCCGGGGGGGGGGGGATGGTGGTGCTGATGCGAGGGGTGGTGCAGGGTGGAAGGGGATAAAGGGGGGGAAAAATGGGACAATTGTAATAGCACAATCAATAAAATATACTTAAAAAGATCTTACATCTGGAAAGGATCTTAAAAATCTTGTACTCCAGCATCCCAACTATTCATAATGTAAATAGAAAGCCCAGAGAGGTTATGCGACTTCCTCACAGTCACACAGGTCATCAACCTCAACCCTAAAACTAGAAACCTAGCATGCTGACTCCTAATCTTATTTTTTTCTCGTTGAGTAATTCTTTTCTTAAATATTTTTTTAATTTTTCAGTTATATTTGTCATATAATATCATACTAATTTCAGGTTTACAACATTGATTTGTATAACTTCTGGTCACCCTGATAAGTCTAGTGCTCATCTGACTCCATACATAGTTATTATAATATTATTGACTGCATTCCCTATGCTGTACTTTACATCACTGTGACTAATTTTTAACCGCCAATTTATAGTTCTTAATTCCTTCACCTTTTTCACCCATCTTCCCAAACCCCCCTCCCATCTGGCAACCATCTATCTGTTCTCCATATGTATGAGTTTATTTTTGTTTTTTTGCTCATTTCTTTTGTTGTTTTTTACATTCCACATGAAAGTGAAATCATATAGTACTTGCTTTTCTTCATCTGACTGACTTCATCTCGCCTAATCCACTCTTAAATCCAGTGAGATTGTGCAAATGGCAAGATTCATTCTTTTTCATGGTTAAGTTATAGTCTATTGTATATATGTACCACTTCTTCTTTAGCTGTTTGCCTGTTGATGGGCACTGAGATCGCTTCCATATCTTGGCTAGTGTAAAAAATGCTGCAAAGGACATAGACGTGCATATGTCTTGAATTAGTGTTTCGGGTTCCTTTGGATAAATTCCCAAAAGAAGAATTGTTGGGTCCTTCTCTGTCTTTTCTTATAGCCTTTGTTTGAAAGCCTATTTTTTTGGCCCTGTGGCTGGTGTGGCTCAGTTGGTTGGAGTGTCGTCCCATACACTGAAAGGTCGCAGTTTTGATTCCCAGTCAGGGCAGATACCTAGGTTGCAGGTTCAGTCCCCACTCTAGGCGCTTACAGAAGGCAGCTGATGGATGTTTCTCTCTCTCCATTCCTCTCTCTCTATAAATATACCGTTGGGTGAGGACTAAAAAACCTAAAAATAGAACAAAGTCTATTTTGCCTGATATATAAGCATTGATAGCCCAATTTTTTGTTCACATTTTCAGTTGCATTAAATATCTTTTTCCATTCCTTTGCATTCAATCTGTGTGTTTTTCAGTCTGAAGTTGGTCTCTTGTAGACATCAGATGTAAAGGTCTTCTTTTAATCCATTCAGCCACCCTAAGTCATTTGCTTGGTGCATTTAACCTATTTATTTTAAGTAATTATTGATGTCATTTTGTTATATTTTATTATATTTTGCCATTTTATTGTATTGCCATTTCATTATATTTTTATTTTATTGCCATTTTATTATAATTTTTTCCTCTTTTTCTTCCTTCCTCCTTCTTCCTCTTCCTTCCACCTTTTTCTCTTTTACTCCTCCTCCCTCTTTCTGCTTTTTCTTCTTCTTGTTTCTTTAACATTTCTTGCAATAATGGTGTGGTGGCAATAACTCCTCTAGCTTATTTTTTGTCCAGGGAGCTCTTTATCTGTCCTTTGATTCTAAAAGAGAACCTTGCTTGGTAGAGTAATCTTAGTTTTAGGCTTTTGTTTTCATCCCTTTGAACATTTTCTGTCAGTCCCTTCTGCCTGGTTTCTGTTGAGAAATCAGCTGACAGTCTTATGGGAGCTTCCTTTGTAGGTAACTGCTCTGCTTTTCTCTTGATGCCTATAAGATTCTCCTTTGGCATTTTAATTATGATGTGTCCTAGTGTGGGCTTCTTTGGATCCTTCTTATTTGGGCTCTCTGTGCTTCCTGGATCTGGATGTCGTTTTCTTGACCAGGCTGGGGAAGTTTTCCATCACTATTTCTTCAAATCGGTTTTCAATCCCTTGCTGTCTCTCTTCCTCTTCTGGCACTCCTATGATGTGAACGTT